GCTCCGCCCCAGGCTGGGATGCAGCGCGCAGGCGCACTGGGCGCGCGAGGCCCCGTCGGAGCGAGGACCGCAGCCTCTTAGTAAACGAGCGGCCTCAGCCTGGCATCCCTGCCTAGGGCCGCTGGCCCTGGGGACGGCCAGGTCACACTGTTTTGCGGTCACTAAGTCGGACTGTGGGCCTCGGGCAAGCTGCCTTCATCAGAATTACCATCAGGCCTGCCTGGTGACACAGAGACCCGCTTAACCTCAGCAAAGGACTCTGGTAAAGAAGTAGGCCCACTGTACCCCACCCCAGCCGTCCTCTGCCCTCAGTGGGGATAGGGGTCACCTGATGGCTGCACCTTCCTCAAACATCCTTCTCACCTAGAGGTGGGTACTGCGAGAAGCTCTCCACACACATGGGCTTCCCAGGCACCATCTCCACAATGGCTGCATCGCCGGACTTGAGGGACTTGGGATTGTCCTCCAGCTTTTTGCCAGAACGACGGTCAATCTTTTCCTTCAGCTCGGCAAACTTGCAGGCGATATGCGCTGTGTGGCAGTCAATGACCGGCGAGTAGCCGGCGCTGATCTGCCCTGGATGGTTCAGGATGATGACCTGAGGCAAAGTTGCAACCAGCATGAAGCATGTCTGGAGCCTGGCTCCCAGGGACCACTGGGGAGGGCAGCGCTGGGTGGGGGCTCCATCACAGAGCCCATGTCCCAGGTTCTAGGCCAGGGTTGCTAACCGTGAAGGAAGCCCATGGCACAGGACTCCCACTTCCAGACCTGGACACCAGCATCCTCACTGAACAGGGGCAAACCCTGAAGTGAACTGATGACTAGATTTTTGGAGGGGCCAGCCAACACCAATGCTGCGAACCCCAGCCACAGCCTGGACGTCGTGGCAAAATTGGCCCTGACTACTGTGTTTCCACTACTCCTAGTAAAGGTGACCCACATGAAGAGGCCGTCAAAGAATGCCAGGACACTGTGGAGAACGGAGCGTTATGGGGACATTGGCGGCAGTGAGTTGATAAAAGTGTCTCACTGGCTGGACCTCCCAGCTGCTGTGGCCAGCAGATGAGGACTGCACTGAGTGACAGGAGTCCGGCCTGGGTGGCCTGCAGCTGAAGGAGGGGCTGTCTTCTCCCAGGCCTCAGGTTGAGTGCTGCCAGCCACCTCCCCCAGGTCAGCCCTGCTGCTGGCCCCAGACCCCAGCAAAGCTGCTGACCTGAGAGGTGAACTGTGCAGCCTCCTGAGGGGGGTCAGACTTGCTGTCCCCGCACACATTGCCACGGCGGATGTCCTTGACAGACACATTCTTCACATTGAAGCCGACATTGTCACCAGGCAGGGCCTCGCTAAGCGCCTCATGGTGCATCTCCACCGACTTCACCTCCGTGGTGATGTTCACTGGTGCGAAGGTCACCACCATGCCCGGCCGAAGGATGCCCGTCTCCACTCGGCCCACGGGCACAGTGCCAATGCCTGGGCCAAGAGGAGGGGGCTGTGAGGGGCAGCAGGGAGGAGTTGGGAAGGTGAGACTTGTGGGCAGAGACCCTGGAGTCACAGCTTGGGCTGCGTGCTCGGGCCATGTGGAGGGATCTGGGGAGCAGACCCAAGGCAAGGCTAACACTGATGTTCAGCAGAAGCAGCGGCTGCCTGAGCCCATTAGGGAAACGCGAGACTGGAGAAAAAGGTCCCAAGGACTCAAAGACAGGGAGGGGCAAAGAGGAGGAAAGGAAGGGATTCCTTCGGCGGCAACACAGGAGCCTCCTCTTTCTGAGGACCCCTCCTTGTGGCCCCAGATTACAGCACCAGAGCAAGGCATGGACCAGCTCTGGGACTGCTCTAACCATCGACCCATGGCCCTGCGTGGGCTCCACTGTGCTGCTGCTGGTCTCTGTCACTAAGGGGCATCTGTACCCCAGCATTTCTCACAGGCCGCTAACACCTGCATGGCTGCTGAGACTTTCTTGTCTTCTCCAGGGCTGGAGACTCTCCACCCTCCCTGGGCTGTGATGGACAGAGGCTCTGTGGCCTCCATATGGTGGGGCCTGAGGCTGGTGGCTTCCCTCTGTGTGAAGAGGTGGCACCCACACCACCTCGGCCACAGGCCCTAGCCAGGAGGACCCGCCATTCTCCCTTCTGGGGCTCTCGTCTTTTTGTTTGCTGGTTTGCTTTTGCAGGGCTGGGATGGAACCCAGAGCCTCATGGATGCTGGGCAAGAGCCACATCCCAGGCTTTTTGGTTTTAGTTTTGAGACAGGGTCTCAAGGTTAGGCTGAGTTGCCCAGGCTGGCCTGGAGCCCTCGATCCTCTTGCCTCGACCTCCCGAGAGGCAGGACTGCAGGTGTGCACCCTGTTTTCCATTGCACTCCGTGGCCTGTGTTTCTCAATCCTAGAGGAGGACTGTGTCCCATGAGACAGTCATCCTGGGTGAAGAGGGGGTCACCTCTGTGTTCCTACTTATGCTACCAGCTCCTGGCACAGTGCTGAGCACTTCCCTGGAGGGAGGGAGACCCTGGCAAGCGCTGGGCAGATGGGTGTCTGGGTGGGGTGTGTGGGAGGAGAGGATGCCTCGACAAGTACACAGGACAGTGAGTACACAGAGGGCAGACGGAGGGGATGGACAGTCCCCCAGAATGCACTGTGGGAGAGGAGTGGGACAGCTGGGGCCCTGGTCTGGCGGGCAGGAGTGACGAGGCCTGCAGGGGAGCTGTGGGGCAGCCCAGCAGCCTCACTCACCGCCAATCTTGTACACGTCCTGCAGAGGCAGGCGCAGGGGCTTGTCCGTGGGGCGTGTGGGGGGCAGGATGGTGTCCAGGGCCTCGAGCAGGGACACGCCGCTTGCGTTCCCCTCCTTGCGCTCCACTTTCCAGCCCTTGAACCACGGCATCTGGGCGGGGGCAAGGAGGCTCCATTCACTCCAATCACTTGCAGACCACAGGCCCTTGGCCCCCAGGGCCCCAGAACTAAAAGTGGCTTCTGCCTGGGGAGTGGCCCTCCCCCAGGCAGCTGGTACCTGACTCTTGCCACTAAACTGCTCTGTGCCCCTCCAGGTGCTGATCTCCTTGTCCTCATCTCCCCCAACCCCCAGCCCACATTCCCAACCCACAGAGACTCTGGAAAAACTTCTCTTAGGAAAGCGGGAGGAGCACTGAGAAAAGCCCCCTTAATGGCCCAGACTCGGTGGCAATGCTCCTGACACTGAACAGACCCCAGCCTGACCTCCCATGTTGGCCAGGCCAGGGACAGAGTCCAGACTTGGCCCCAGCCCCAGAAGCTCTGCTGATCACCATGTTATCTCCAAGCTCAGGGGCCTCTCCAGAGGTAGGCCGAGAGCCCTCCCTACCACAGAGCCTCTTCTGGCCTCCTTAGATCCTATGACACCTCAGGCCTGTGGGCAGTGCAGGACAGAGTCCTTGGACAGGTCACTCACCCATCACCAATGCCACAGGGAACCCACCCATGGGTATGGTGCTCAGCCTGGAAAGAGAGGTGGGGAGCAGCCCCTCCCTGCCCAGCTGCGTTCCTGGACCATGGGCTCTGCGCTCCACACAGCTGGTCCAAGACAACCTCGCTGTCCCCCCAGGTCTAGCTCTACACTAACGCTCTCAATTGAGGTGGCTACAGAGCTGGCCAGAACCAAGTGGCTGCCCTTTTAGGACAGGGATCTCCTCTGGCTGGACAGAGTCCTAGGAGTACAATCCCAGGTTCCAAAACTGTCTCTGACGAGGCTGAGGCCCTGGGCCTCAGCTTCCCAGATGACCAGTCAAGAGCCAGCATTCGGCCTTCCCCACCAGCCCAGGAATAAGCACACTGCCAAAAGCCCAGCCTCACTCCAGACCCCAGGGGGGTTCTGCATCCCTGCTGACCCTGCAAGTTGTGCAGGGCCAGGAAAGTGTTCCAGGGGGGACATGGAAATTAATCCCCCTGTGATGGGATCCTGGACACCAGACCCATGAGCCACTGCCCCTGCAGGATTGGCTTGGGGGTCCTTCCCTAGCCAGAGAAGGAACCTCAGCTGCCTCTGATGGACTCATGGGGAGGTTGAACAGGAGAGACAGAACCCTGGACCCTGAGAACAGGCCATGACCTCCCCAGGAGGCTGGTGTCCACCCTTCCAGTGCTCAGGGAAAGCAAGCTGAGCTGAGGGAAGCTGGGGACCGGCCCTCTGATGTCCCTGCTCTGCCCTCATCTACCTGGCCCAGTGTGGCTCTGGGCTCTGGGCAGGACAGCCAGATGGCACTCACGTTGGGTGAAGGCTCCAGCATGTTGTCTCCATGCCAGCCAGAGATGGGTACGAAGGGCACCGTGGCTGGGTTATAGCCGATCTTCTTGATGTAGGCGCTGACCTCCTTAACAATCTCGTCGTAGCGCTTCTCGCTATAGGCGGGCTCCGTGGAGTCCATCTTGTTGACGCCCACAATGAGCTGCTTCACCCCCAGGGTGTAGGCCAGCAGCGCGTGCTCTCGGGTCTGCCCGTTCTTGGAGATGCCCGCCTCAAATTCGCCCACACCTGCAGCCACGATCAGCACCGCGCAGTCCGCCTGCCCAGCAGGTGGGGATAGTGAGCCTCTGGCCCTGCCCTAACTGGGATGGGCCTGAGCAGGTCCTGGGGGAGGAACCTGGGGGGGTCTCACATCAGGCCAAGTCAAGCAGACACAGGTTTGGGCACTGGCTCCACCACCAGCAGGCTGTGTGTCCCCTGACAAGTCACTCAGCCTCCGGTCCTGTTCCCCCCACCTGTCTGTGTGAATACACCAGGAATGTCCGGTTGTCCACTCTAATCATGTGCAGTGCTGCCCACCTCTAGCTGTCCCCATCCTGGCCTCTACATCTGCATGTCTATGAAGGGCACACCAGCTGTCCCCTCTGGCTGGGATCCTTGCAGGCACCCACCTAGCTAAGTGCAGAGTACTGACTCAGTTCTTGGGGACTCCGTGCCAGGTGGGGCAAGTGGTGACAAGAGTCCACTCCATGCCCCCATGTCCCCAGTTTCCCTCGCCCCACCAACCTGGGAGGTGCCAGTGATCATGTTTTTGATGAAGTCGCGATGGCCCGGGGCGTCGATGATGGTGATGTAGTATTTAGTGGTCTCAAACTTCCAGAGCGAGATGTCGATGGTGATGCCGCGCTCCCGTTCTGCCTTCAACTTGTCCAGCACCCAGGCATACTTGAAGGAGCCCTTGCCCATCTGGAGGGCAGGCACACAGCTCAGGACAGGGCCCAAGACTCAGTGGTCACGGTCCCTGGCCAGGGCTGCCCTGGGTCCTGGGAGCAGCATTGAGAAGCAGGAGTGGGCTCTTGCCCCTGGCTCCCCATTGGGCCCTGGGACTCTGGCCCCCTCTCTCTGGTGACACCCACACCCTACCTTGCCCTGCCAAGTGTCCACACAATGCCTCCCAGGGCCCTTCTCTCACGGCTTCCCAAATGGCCACAATCGCCAGTGTCCACCAGCAGGTGGCGCAAGGGCCTGGAACCTGCCAGCCGCAATGAACCCCCTCCTCAGCAAAGAGCACCCCTGCATCTGAAGCTGGGGGACCCACCCCTTCAAAGTCAGAGGCCAATAACACCACTGGGTTTGAAAACCTCAGTGTGAAAACCCCTGTGTGTGTGTGTGTGTGTGTGTGCACGTGCACGCACGCGCGTGTGTTGCCAGGAAGGCTTGTCTTTCCAGCTCTTTCTATGGCAGATGAAATCTCCCGGAGGCTCTGGGGTGCCTCCCTCCCCCTGAGCAAAGGAAGCAGGGCCTTCCCCCAGGAGCAAGGCTGGCCACTCTCTGCAAACACCTGGGGACTGGGGGCTAGGGGACCCCACAACCTGGGCCAAGGTGCAGTTGTCACCCAGCTGGGCCCGGCTCCCTGCCCAGTCCTCACAGGGACAGGCTTCTGCCCTCCAGGGAGGCTGTCTAGCCTGGAGGGGCTCCCCTAGACAGGACTAGGCCCCATCTGGGACCTGACCCAGGGTCCTTCACCCCTCGGTCCCTTCCCCTCACCATCCCAAGTAGAGTGATGTATATTGGGGTGACAGGACGCAGGGTACCCCACCACCACTAAGGCAGGGTTCAGCCCAGGACACTGGCTGCCCCTGCCCCAGCCCTGCCCCAGCCCCTCATCCGGGTGCAGCTGAGCACCCTCCCAAGTTCTCCAGGGCCCCAGGTCCTCCCAGGGTCCTCGCAGGCTCCCCAGGCCCTCCCACGGCCCCTCATCCGGGTGCCAGGTGAGCATCCTCCCGGTTCTCCAGACCCTCCCCCAGGCCCTCCCAAGTGGGTTTCTCCCAGAGCTCAGGGGGAGGGAATGGTGGCAGAGAACAGGCCCCATTTATGGCCACTTCCCACCCACAGGCCTCAGCCACAAAGAAAGAAGGCAACCAGTTGGCCCCTTCCATCCTCTGAGGCCACCAGGACCCCCACCCCAGGGCAACACCCTGGACAAGCAGACTGCACAGCCCAGCACAATAAAATGGAGCTGGCAGGCACACTGCCCGTCAATCAGCTATTAATAGCAGCCCTGAGTCCTGCCCAATCCTGGGACAACCGAGGGCAGCACCACCTCCAGCCCCAGCCTTGCCCCTGGGGGACGAGGGGACAAGGCTCAGGGGCCCTCTAGCCCTGGCCCACTGTGGCAGAGTACAGAGCCCTGTCCTGGACCCTGCAGGGCGGAAATGACACTTCTCATTTGCCATGCGGCAAACCTGGCAGCTCAGTACCACCCCCACCGAGCACATTCTGAGAGAGGCTGACCCCGTTCACCCCCACACTGCAGTCAAATCCCACATGGCCCCCAGAGACACGTGTGCCCATTGCTCTGAAGGAGGAAAACTGACCCAGACACCCAGGAGTCAGGGAACCAAGCTCAACTGCCACGCAGGAGCCATGGGGTGGCGGGGGGGCGGGGGGGGGCTAGAGCTCACCTCAGCAGCCTCCTTCTCAAACTTCTCAATGGTCCTCTTGTCAATGCCCCCGCACTTGTAGATGAGGTGGCCTGTTGTGGTGGACTTGCCTGAGTCCACATGGCCAATGACCACGATGTTGATGTGCGTCTTCTCCTTGCCCATTTTGCCCTAGTGGGAGAGGGGCTGGCACGACTGGGGCTCTGGCTCAGGGCGATTGGCTGTTGAGCAGGGATTCTGTGGGGTCAGTGAGGGGGGCAGGTGATGGGGAGGTGCAGAGGGAGCCAGCAGAGACAGTGTACTGGCACAGGTTGTGAGCACACCCTACCCTCAATCCTTGCCCTGAAGCCCAGGCCAAGACCCCCGCCTCCCAAGCGCAGCCTGACCCAGTTGATCACAGACCATGTGCTCCCCCCACCCCACACATTAGCCAAAATGGTCCAATTTGCTGTACATGTCTGGGTGTCAGCGCGCATTACCGAGGGGTTAACCCCATCTGACAGCAAGAAACAGCGGGTTGGAGGCGCCCCACGAGCAGCCCAGAGCTGGTGATGAGTCACCCTGCCTGGCTCTCCAGTGCCCTGTCCTCCCGTCCTCCTAGATGCTGCCTGCCCCAGCCCCAGCCAGGGACACTGCACCCCACCCCCACCTGCTGCCACGGGGGAGAGATGGTCAGCACCCACACTCCCCTCCTCGGAGGGAGGGCGCCATCTTTCTCTGTCCCTGCCTGCAGGCTGGCACTGGGAGACAGATGTGGTGCCCAGGTAGCGCCCAGAATAGCCCAGGCCTCCCCCAGACCTGGACAGGGGGCACAGCAGGAGGGGGGTGCTGCTCTGATGAGAAAAGAAAGGACACCCCCCAAGCTCAGCAAATGCTGCAGGGATGCCCTCAGCCCAACAGGGGCACCAGGGCCCCCCACCCTCCCCCACTTCCTTCTGGTCCCTGCGCTGGGTCTCAGCCCCAGACAGGTCCCCGAGTTCACCCGGGAAGCCCAGGTAGCCCAGGAAGGGGACCGGAGGCAAGAGGGGGAAAGGGCAGGAACACGGGTGCCTAGGGTTGGCACTCCGCCGGGTGGGGCTGTGAGACCCCAGGTCTTGCCACCCCCGCGCCCTGTTCGGGCGCATCGCGCGGCGCCGGCAGAGTCCCTAGCCCCAAGAACCTTAGTCTCGGCCGCTCAGGGCCCCAAGGTCACGGCGCGCGGCCCAGGAGACGGTGGCCGCCGCCGCGTAAACAAGTGCCGCGGGGACCCACCGCCCGGCCGCCCTCGGGGTCCACCCGTGTGGATCCCGCTGCGGCGGGCGGTTATCCCCTAGTCTAGCTGCGCAGCTCGCCGGACGCGGTGCCAGCCCCTCTCGGCCCCAGGACCGGTCCCCAGGGAGGGGTCCCTCTGCGGAAAGCTGGGGCGAAGCCGGGCACCCAGACCCGAGCGTCCTTACCCGGAGCCGAGGTCTCAGCCAGAGGGACTGGCGGCGGCGGCGCCGGCGGTTTTATCTCTCCAGGAGGGGGTCCACCTATTGACGGTGCGGGCGCAATGCACTGCGCCCCTGCAGTACGGCAATGCGGTACCGGCGGGGGGAGGGCGGG